AATGGATATATTGTCTTTTTAATTAACCATTGGAATGATTCATTCATTTCGAAAGTGAGGCAAGTCTCTCTAGGTATAAAAAAAAACTTGAATTTCCAATAACTTTGAATGAATGCATGAATGGAACAAGGATCGAAGAAAGAAAGGATTGATTCGCGGAAGCAAGGAATTAAGGACGAAAAATATCTATTAGCTATGCAAACCTTTAATTACCTCGCAAGAGCAAAAAAAAAAAAAAAAATTAACTTACCCCACAGCTCATAATATAAACAGCTTATATAATATGAATAGATTCCTTATTAGCGTAATAGCATTTTATTTGAAGTATCGTTTATCGATAGCTGCACATTTCTCTTGTCTCTCTGATAGAGCATGAATTCCATGTAGAAAGGACTATTGATGTTTTCAGGCTCCATTTTTTGTGTATGTTTACAAGAATAGAAACGTGAAGTCGCCTGTTAAAGGCAACTTCAATCAGAAAGAGCAATGTCTGTGGAATAGAATGGGGTTAAAACAGCGCTTCAATTTTTCAATAGGTCATCGAACTTTTTTCCACTAAAAATTCAATCTATATTGCCTTATGACAATTGTGTAGACTTTTTCTCTAATATTCAGCCCAATATCATGACTTGTTGCTAGATAGTCTTCTGCTAGAGTTGTAAATTCTGTTCATCTGTTCATGATACCAAACGCGAACGATTGTCTTCTTCCCGTCACAATTCATGTTCTTTGAAAGCTTTGAAAGTAAAGATTATATTAAAAAAATGAAGTGCATTAAATCTAGTCCGTAAGCGTTCATGTCCTACATTCAACGAAATCGCCCTCAAGAATGATACAATTATTCTAACATTCCCCCAGTCTTTTCTAATGTAGTGCTTCCATCTCAAAATCCACAAAATATGTTTCAGTCTCCGCGATGATCTCATCGTTAGATCTAAATCATTTTTTGTGGGACATGGCTTGAGGGCTGCAAGCAAACAATAGGCATTCGGGAGCGGATCTCGAGATTACGCACAGAGAATGGCAACAATTCGGACAAGCTGTACTTTGTGGCAATTCCCCCTTGAATTGAGACAAACGGCCCACATAACATTCGCAAACCATGTACTTCTCAAAACACGGAGATCATTCTTCGCAAGGAGAAGCCCGGCTTTTTAGCAAAGTATTACATAATGTTTTCCGTTTCTTTCTCTCGTTAAGCCAAAAACATTGCACTGCCAAGTTTCTCAAATAGTCAACGCAGGTGAAATTTGATTCTTCAAAGGCTGCGTTATGCGACTATGTGTACGATTTTGAGCACAAACCCTGATGGATGCCGGACACAAACCAACCAGAAACAGAATAATAGGACATTTGGGACACACTAAGAGAATGAAAAAAACAAGCACTCCGAATATATATATATATATATAGTGTAAGACTATGTAATGTTTCAGTTCAATTTATAGCAATGAATCAGGGATGTAACTTCGTACGTGAAAGTTAGCTTTCGCTTGTCGTATCGTATGGTACGTAAGTATACCATAATTGCTCTTGGAAGTTTTCGTGAACAAGTGTGCCAGATGCGTACGATGATGATGGTGTCCGATCTTTCCACATATCTTAAAATCGGATATCTGGTTTTTCTCCACAAGTTCATCCAGACTCGACCACCAAGAGATTTACATAAGAAAGTTTAGTTCGCGAAATTTGAACGGACAATAAATTTAAACCTACCTGAACACAAGTACTTAATATCAACAAGACTTTTCTTCGTTAATGCTGCAAAGCTATGCACCTCGTTCCCGCTCCATATCAAAATGATTGTTAGCCTCAATAAGTTTAAAGCAGCTGTAAAAGACTCTTAAAATCCAACACTTACATCTGCGTGCTGGCTTTATTTCTTATATTGCGCTATATAGTTACATTATCTATATATCTTTATCTTTGCTGTTGCTCTCGACTCGATCGCTTTACGGGAACACCAACTTTTGATTATAGTATTGCATAATTGAATCACTATCACTAATAGTTATTAATATTACGTAATAAGTGAAATTAAAGTAAAGTAAAACTGAACTTTCCTTTTTCGGCTTCACCTAGCTTTGAAACTATTTGAGCAAATTTACTCTAGAGTTGCATATAGCCACCAAGATTCGTCATGACATATCTTTTTTAAGTTCCGTTCAGCAGGCATGGGTGATTTAATTGAATTCCTCGTGATGAGCGATTACAGACTTCTACACGGGTCATAATTCCCATAGATACCATGCGTATCTTCGACACCGATTAATGTAGATTCTGCCAGGGTACGAGCGAGACATCCCAGCACACTCTATATGAATGTAAGCCCATCTACAGAATCAAGTATCACGTCTTTGGCGAGCATTTTATAACGCTGGACACTAAAACAGGAGGAATACTGGCACGAGCGGGTACAAAAGAACCTTTAGGTCCCGGTACGCATGGCAAACCGTTCCTCCAGTTGTTGTTACTTGAGTTTTAAAACAAATTGAATTCCTTTGGATAACGTTAGCAATTCAACGAATCCAAGAAAACTATTTATTTTTAAATTCGAATGTAACGGACAAGAATTATTGTTTAAAGAATTAATAAAACTTACATTTTGAATCCACCTAACCTATAGCGCCCCACCAGTCCACATATCTAAGGCTGCTCTAATTCGCAAATCTTTCTAGTACAAAAATCGAAAAATATTACTCATACGAATTGAATTCCTGCGCGTATAAGATCAGAACAATTAAAGAAATCGAACAAAATTGTCCTTTTTTTTTTTCTTAAATTTTGGTAAGCAAACAAGGTCACTGTTTGCGAATAATGTTAGATTGGACTTAAGTTACTTATCAATTTTCATATCTGCTTTTCATATATTCAAGTTATATAATTCAAAATTTGTATTACGACAAAAGGTAAGCAGGGAGTGTGAAAACAATGTGGTCCATGAAGGGACAAATAAACTTTGTATTTGGATTTGTAAAATTATCGGAATTAGATTCTTTAAGATTTGACAAACCTTCTTGAAGTTTTGCTTTGGAAAACAGGAATTGCTTATTTCTTTGCGAGCAGAAATGTGAGAGGAACAAAGAAACTTTCAATGCGACTTTTAAGATAACAATATTAAATCTGATCAAACTGATCCGTATTTTTAAAAATTAACACTTATATACCTTACTAGGCAGCGGCAAGTGAAAGAAGCATATATCGGATGAAACGACAATCGATGTTTCGCTATGAGTTAAAATGAAATTTCCCTGATATACTATACAAGAATTTTTCCTATAATGACAGATCAAAACAGAGTCATGAGTGCTGCAGCTTAATTTCTTAAGTGTTTCTTAAATTGGGATAGTATTAGTTAAGATAAGGTGGATAAGGTGTAAGATCAATATTTAACGAAAGGAACTGTCGTGAAAATCGTGAAATATTCGATACACATCGAATCTAAAAAATCAATGTGAAGTGATCCATAGTTCGGATAGTTATAAACCGAGATAAAGGACGACTCCTATTATAGTATCTCCAAGTGATTTATTTTAACGATCTTTGTTTCCGATATATTTCCGAGTTGTTCTAATTTCTCTATACGGAATTCTTATTGCCTTAGGCGACATCTTCCCATTACTTAATAATGTTGCCTGTGACTTTCTTGCCGTTGTACAAAATTATAAGCTGATAAGTAGTTTCCCAGTTCTTTAATATTTTAAGGAGCATCAAACGTGTCATGCAGTTTTTCTTTTCGCCTTAATCCGCCTTAAACAGACAAACTGAGATCGTGTTATTATGAAAGTCCCCTCAAAATTCCGCGTATGAAGAAAAAGTAAACAATTGTTTAAAAATGCTTAACAAAAAACGCCCAGTTTTATTAATATTCTTTCTGATGCATTTATGCGATATTAATGAGAATATATGAACATTCATGTCATATATACACAAATTACGTTGTGATTAAATCCGACTTTAATGATATCGGCTATTTCTTTTTAAGATAAACCCAATTAGTTATACGCAGTTTACAATTGCAATAAATAATAAACATTTTTTCGTCTTTTGCTGAGCTTCACAAGCTCGGAAACATTTTAAACAAAATTAAAACAAGTAAACGTCTTTCTTTGAACAATTTCCCCAAAACCGCATGCACGTCTTTGGAGATACAAATAAGATGATTATATTCTAAGCTTAGATATTTGTATATTTCGAAAGGTGAAATAACATGTAATACCAGTAACTTAAATCGAGAAATGAAACAATATATTAAGGTAGAAAATTTTACAATAAGGGAAGTGCGAATAAGTTATCTGTTAAACGTGAATTTCATTTCCCACCGAAACCGCCCATTAAATTCCCTAGCCCACCTAGACCGCCAGCTGCTCCTTGTTGTAGCTGACGCATCATATTCTGTAAACCGCCAACACCACCCATTTGCTGCAGCATACGCGGATCAATCATTTTCGCCATTTGTTGATTGAGCTTGGCCATTTGCGTGGGATTAACGTTTTTGGTCATATCACCCTGTTTGAACAATCCTTTAACTCCGCCCATTTTCTTGACAACTGCGGCAAATTTCGTATAATGCGATATAAGCTCTTTAACTTCACGTTCCAGAACACCAGATCCTTGGGCTACACGGACAATGCGCGTTGGTTGCTTACTAAATAGTTTGGCACCGTCGCGGTTATCTAATTCGCCATCGGACATACTATCCATCATTGTCATCATACGTTTAATACGAGCCATAGACTCTTGTTCACCTCCCTTGGTCATGAAATCTTGCGAGAAACCTGGTATCATTCCCATAATTTGAGAGAATGGTCCCATTTTCATAATATTCTGAAATTGTTCGTACATGTCACGTATTGTAAATTGGCCATGCTTAATCTTCTCAAGTAGTTCTTCGTTGCCATCTAACTTTAATTCGTTGACCTTCGATAACGTTGAGAATATATTAATTGCCTTTAATATTATTAGAAGATCAAATGCCATTTACCTTATCAATTAAGCCTTCAATATCGCCCATACCCAGCAATTTGCTAACGAAAGGTTTAGTTTTAAAGGGTTCCATATCGTCAATGTGTTCACCCGTGCCTATAAAAATGATTGGTGATCTTGTGGCAGCGACAGCTGATAATGCACCTCCGCCTTTGGCATGCCCATCTAATTTTGTTATAATGACTGAACCGATGTCTACCTTTCCTTTGAAAGCCTTGGCCTGGGCTTCGCAAGCTTGACCAATCGTGGCATCCATTACGAAGATGATATTGTCTGGATTAATGGCATTGGCCACCGCTAACATCTCTTCGAACAGCGATTCTTCTTGCTTGTGACGTCCAGAGGTATCGACAATTATCATTTCAAAACCTTCCCTTTTGAACATTTCGACGCCCTCTTGGGCAATGACCACAGGGTCAATTTCTGTGTAGCTACCGTAGAACGGTATACGCGCCTTGGTAGCATTCTGTTTAATTTGATCATAAGCGCCGGCACGAAATGTATCTGCACATACTAAACACGACTTCCAGTTGCGCTTTTGATAGTGATAAGCTAACTTGGTGCACGTTGTGGTCTTTCCCGATCCTTGCAAGCCCACAAACATAATCACGTTGGCCTTACCTTTAACTGGTTGATATGGCTTTACACCAGGATCAACTAGTTTTATTAACTCCTTAAAAACCGCACTCTGAATCATACGCCTTTTATTCAAACCACCGGCCATCTCATCGAAATCAATAACTGCTCGCACATTTTCACGCAATTGCTTAACCAATCGTATGTTTACATCTGCCTCCAGTAAAGCTGCACAAATTTCCTTAAGCATAGAATTGAGAGCCTCCTCATTAATAACTGTGGCTTTGCTCAAAGAGTGCAAGGCAGTAGTGATTTTTCTACCCAAATCTGCTAAAACCATTTTGGAACCGACTTTAACAACACACACACACTGACAACACTATTAATTTTTCGTTTTTATCTTCCTGCTATTAGTTTTTCTTCCCGTATAAGTGAAATTTCTAAAATTTGCTTAAACGTATAAAAAGAAAATTCAATTACTTGCTTTCCTTTCAACGATGTTATCGTATTTTGACACGTCGAAGTGGTGTTGCCACATTAAAAAACTACGATGAAACCTGAAGGATATTATTATTTACAAAATAAGGAGTAAAAATAGTTCTAAACAAATCTTTTGCGGATTTCTGTATTATCTGTCCATTGCCTTTAATAATCTCTAGAATATATAGAAAAAAATTAAGAGAAATTATTATAATATTATCGCAATTATATACTATATTACATCTATTATAGGAAGTTGAACGCATGCGAACTTAACAACATTTAAGTAACTAACAAAAGGTGATAAGTAGATATTTGTAGACAAAAACTTGATTCAAAAAGGTTACATATAATGATAAAAATATTTTATAATGAAGATATGTATAGAATGTAAATCAAGCGGATAATAAATTAAAAAAAAATTCACTAAAAAGGAATCAACGCAAACATTATAAATAGAAGAACGAAGTGTTTTGCTCTTTACGTTTTAACATTAATGAGAGAGCATGCATAATGAAGAAGCATGTAACCGAAACACACGATTACCTAATCATGTAAACAGGCAATAATCGCCATGATTATCGCCTGGTTTTTTAGGAGATAATTGATTATCGCGTAAGGGCTAGTCAGGTACAATCGTCGCCAGCTTTCCAATACTTCCCCTTAAATTTTCCAATACAATGCATTAAAAACTGTGAGAAACGAAAAAGAGAGAACCAAATTGACGTTTATTTGTTTTATAAAGCCAAACTACATATGATAAACAATAACAAGCATGCAAGATGAAACGAATAGAAAACGTTGTAGAATTTGTATTTGACTCACTATATTAACTTAATTCAACTTGATATTTAAAAAAGATTATTACACTTACTATTATCAACTTTTTTTTTCTTTTTCTTTACAATTCACAAATGTAATTTCGAAGATACTATATTTTTTTACATTTTCTTAAATTTTTGAATTAATAATTCATTTTCTAACAGCTGTTTATATTTTTCTTTTGCAGCAGCAACCGCAACTCTAAAAGGGAGATTTGTGGTAACGTTGCTTGGTTTGTACTCAATGCTAATGCAGATTTGCTCTCAGCGACAGCAATTTTGTTGTCGTCAGATTTGACATAATTGAGAAAGCGCAATTGGCAATAATCGCCAGAAACTTTGTCCACACGATTAGATTCTCTTGGGGATTGATGCCTGTTTAGATGATTATCTCCTAGAAAACGAATGTGCAAAGTAATAAGTGTTACTCAGTGCTATATATTGATAATGACTTACAACGAAACGATCAAGACAGAAACAACTAAATGACAGAATGATCCAACATTTTATTCAAAATTCAAACTAGAAGATTATTATGGACTTTTTGCGTTTCTGTCATGAACTATTCTAGTTATGCAATTTGAAGTGCTCTCGGTGCGAGAATTCCGAATTTTGGTATAATATGACTGACTCTTCATGCAAAACCTCAGTATGTGGCGTCTATGCTCGCTGCAGTCATCGTTCGTAAACCAATCGTTCGCGACCTCCATTTTTATATTAATGTCTGCATAATATTCTGTTTGCGTACCTTTCACATTCGCAATAATATATTCCAAAAACTTCATATTTCATACGAAAGTCGTTGTTGCAAAAACTTTCGAAATGAGAAAATTTGCAAACATTCACACACAAAGAAAATAAAAATTAACAGTTATAAATGTTTGTGGCATTTATGCTCCAAAATTTTATATGAGTGGAATACGATTTCACTGATTAATTGTATATTTCGTCTCTCTTTAGCTGTCCTTTAAGTCATTGTTTTAATTTTTCCTTGAACATTGAACGTACACGATATGCCCCATCAGAAAAATGACATTGTTATCATCTATAGTTTTCTCAACACCCACAGTGGACGAATGTGCCGCTTTACATGAAAAAGTTTCATATGTTGGCTTTAAAAGCAGATAATTATCAGCAATTCGCTTTCCGTCGTTCTGTTGTGATATAATTAAATAATTTTATAAGATTCATTTTTCTTTCGCCTAACACTATGTTAAAAAAAATCATGATACGTGTAGAGAAAACTAAGCTAACCGCGTATGAACGGATGACAACATCACGCAATGACACGGAAGCGACCAATTACCTGGGTAAGCTTTGGCTATTTAGTTTCCTCTGGTCCATATATACATACATATTTGTTTGCTGAAAGAAGAAAAAAGACAAGGATCTTGGAAAAATTCATTTAAAAGCGTAAAAGAAATTTAGGTAAAATTTTTAAATAAATTTGCCACGTATTTTGTCATGGACCATGAAAAGTAGAATCTTTGAATAGAATCTTTATTAAGCAAAAATCATAAGATGAACTTTGAAAAATTTAAATTATAATTACAATTATTTTTAAGGAAGAATATCCATCCGGTCAATTAGCAGCTGGCCTTCATTTAATTTCTGATAAGCGATTCTCCTCAAAAGATGGCGCAAAAATATATTTGTCATTGTCCTTTCAGGAAAGCAGCTGAAAGACATTTCGGCCAATCAATCAGAGACCAAACCATCTAATCAATGTCTAGCAAGGAATAGCTGTTATTATATTGGTTTAGCTTAATAGGACAAAGAAAATACTAATGGCTAACAATCCTTAATAAAGGGACTCAAAAAGATATAGGAGAGGATATAGTGAAGCTTTGCAACGGTAACAGTGACACATGAATCAATTAAAGGATGAGAACGATATTGCCACCAGATATCCTTGTGAAAGACGATCTCTTGTTAGATCGAAGAGGGTCAAAAAGAAAAAAAAATTCTAAATCGTTTCCTTAAAGATAAGGTGCCTGCCTGTTAAGTTAATGTCATTGGTTTATGACTATTATTATTATTATTATTATTATATTTATTATTAGATAAGCAATAAATTCTTAAACTCAAATTAAGATGAGGCCGAGTAGATGTTGAATTATTTTGCAATGCGGAAAACTTTCAGATCGCGTAAAGACCGCGCTTATCGTCAAGCTAAGCAATTTCGAAAACGTGATTTATTAAGTAAGCTTGTAAGCAATGATCATGAATAGCAGGATTACAATCGTTCTCTTTGGCTTAATCAGTACTTATAGTAGAAATGTGTGATTGTGAATTATAAGTGAACGTTAACGTTCCGTTAATCATTTGTCTTTGCTTGCTTATTTGCTTTTGACGCTTTTTACAGCTTTCGTAATCAACTTGAGTTCAAATAGGATTCGAATATGAGTTACATGCGTGGGATAAGACTAGAGATATAACGCTAAGCGAACGAGATTTTTTATTTACTTACGAAAGCTTTATGTTTTTATTTTAAAAAAAGAAAAAAAAAAAAACAAAATATAATATGACTTACAAAACATATAATTCTTTGCTTATTTATTTATTTTTTTTTCATCCCTTTGGGCAGATTCTTATCATATTTTGAATATTAATTATATTTTATAAATATCAGTGATATATATAATAATAATTATGATATGTTTAACTGCCGCACCCGTTAAAAGAGAGAACTTAAGCGCATGTTTTTAACGTCCTTTGTATATGAAGAAATTAGCGCTATTTCGCCTTAAAGGCCCTTAAGCATTTCATCGAAGCGGAGAAAGATAGAGTCAACTATATTGACTTTGGTAATATTTTTTCTGCAAATTCATCACAGTTACGGAATTTCGCAGATAAATGTGTATAAAAACATAATCGAGCTTTTGCAAGTACAACCTAGAAAACCATCCACAGTTGGAAAATATCATTGTAAGTGTAAAGAAAGAAAACCCATAAGTAATTTTAGTGTGATTTACTTAATTAAAATTAAAAGAAATTTTTGTGAAAAAGAATTTTCCTTTTTTTTTTTTCTTCCCCCTTTTCCCCTTGCAGACTAATGTTAAAGAAAAGTCTATGAAATAAATAAAAACAATTGAACGAAAAATTTGCAAAAATTATTAAAAAAAAAAAAACACTTAATCAACATACAGTAAAAAGCAATTATTAATTAATAATAATATAAAAAAAAAAATATACA